CCAGGAACTGCAAGACTTGCCAACGTTGTCCTTTAGAGACTATGATACAAGATGAAATCCAAGGTCTTTCAGCAGCTGCAAAGACTCAGTTTCCCTAAATATAGAATAAACCTGAGTATTTAAAAATTTTAAAATTCTAAGCTTTTGTTTCTTTCATAAGGAGCATCTTGACAGCAAACTTGTAGCACTCTCCCTAGTACTCAGAGCTCTATTAACCCATGCACTCCAGAGATAAGGCCCTCTTTCACCCATCTAACCCCATATTTCTTCTTCTCTCTTCTTCCTAGGGTTCTGCCTCCCATGGCTCAAACACAAGTCTTTTTTAGAGGCAGTGCTGGTCCCTGCTTCCACATAATTGCTACAGGCATCCTGGAGAAGTAATTTCCAACCAGCATTACAGAGACGAAAGGCTGCTCTGGTCATCTGGCTCTTTTCAGGGCAATCAGTTCAGTGCCTTGCAGGGGGTTACCAGGAACCAGCCCTAAGCTGCCTCACACAGAGTTACAAGCAACCAGCCCTTGGTTCCAGGGTAAAACACATTACAGCATTTCAAAGCTATGCTAAAGAAGCACAGAAAAGCTCTCCCCTACCATTTTTGTACTAAACTAGAAAGGATAAAAGTGCTAAACACCACCATGGTACAAATGTAACTAACATGCTAGCACCTCTGAGACCTGGGTTTTGCTGAAATCCACACAAAATAGAGATTTACCCTCCCATTTCAATTGGTGTCATTTTCTCAGGCAACAAACAACAGATGAGAACTGCTCAAGGCACCTTTTGTAGCATGCACCTGCGTGATTTAATCTAGGGTTTCTTTCTTGATCTGCCTTTTGAAGCGTTAGTATAAAGGTGAGAACAGAAATGAGCTAGTCATACTACAGCTCTGAGCCAGGGTAGAATGAGATGACTTCAGGTACAAGATAAATAGACTGAGCTGGACATCAGCCAGTTCAAATAATTCCTCTAGTATATTCTGAGCTTAATTTTTCTTGCATTACTTGCTCTTGACATACGAACAGTACTGAATACTAAATTACTTCCCCGATGCCAAAGAAGATTTAATCAGCAACACAGTTTGGACTATAACATTAACTTTTTACTTGCTCCCCCATAGCTTTCCTATCTCTGCTCTCTATATCCATCCAACTTCTCTCATTTTCTCTCCTAAAAGCCTTTTACTCTTCATTGGCTAGCCTGATAGAAGGCAATATTGGGAAACAAATTTTACATCTATGCAACCCTTCTCCCCTCAACTTTTTCATGAAAGTATAAGCCAGAGAGCAAGTGTCCCTTGTTAGACTGACTTGGATTCCCTCTACTAGAAGTAAAGAAATGTTATACTTCACTTACACTTTCGGCTACATTTCATATCCTTACAAGTTTTAGAGAACTCGCTACCATTCAAATTTAAGCCAGGATTCCATTACAACACAATTAGTAAAATAACCATTTTAAATGCCTGACATTTCAGGTGGAAGTATTTTGTGGGGAAGTCACTCAGTGAAAATAACGTTATCAAAAAAGGCACAGCTGAGAAATCAGAAAGTATACCATAACCACATTATCCAGGCCTATTCAAAAACTGGAGCTCAATTAGTAACAGAGCTTGTTTAGGTTTTGAGAAAAGAAGCCACCTTCTAAGTACATAGGTCCTTGTAGCTAAAGTCAGATATCTACCTATCAAAACTGTAAGCACTAACAGTGCCTGGAAAGCACTCTCTGCTTGCCAGGGTGAATGCTTCCTGTTAGCTTCCCTATTGCCAACACATATGAACCACAGATTTTCAGATGTTCTGGATATTGTGGTTATCTGAAGTCGTTTTGAACAGGAATAAAGCAGCACTGTTGCTGAAAGAAGCAATTATATCCTTCCCTTGTTTGTAGCCACTTTCACCCTCCCCCTTCCCTTGTACTGCTACAAGTGTCTGCTACATGTTCAGACAAAAACAATTTTTATCTGAATTTATTTGTTGATAATTTCTCTTCTTCCTGGCACAAGGGATGACAAGTCAACAAAATACAGGACGGGACCACTACTTTATTTGGCACTAACAGTTTAAAGTGACAGTAAACTATACTGTAAGGTAAACTGTGATGATATCATGCCAAAGTAGGTACTTATTACTCTTCAAATGTATTTGTAAGTAAGTGTTTAGAAGTTTCTTATAAGTGCTTGCCTAACAGCAGTGTGTACATTACACAGTATTTCTGTGGTAAGCATACCACTGAAATCTTGCGACCTTGATGAACAAAGACTTCTGACAATGTTTTATGCAGAAGCTGTCACTAAAGTATTCTAACATTACAGAGACTCTTTTCTTGCAGATCAAAACAAGTAAGAGCTTTCTGGGATTAAAAGTTCCTAAATTTTCAAGGCCTCATTTATCCAGTAGTTTTCCCTCACTTTTAAATGTTGTCATATAACAGAACAAACCTAAGCCATTCCCAAGATATTCTGCATACACAAGTGTAAAACCTAAAATTTCAGTACTTACACAGTAAATTCTCACGAGGATTTAACAAATATATTTAATAATTTATATCATGCTTTCAGCTTCAATACTTAATACTTTTCCCTTTGAAGCATTTATCCTTGGATTACACTCAAGCACTGGAAAACTTGGATGCCCCAGGGGAAAATGAAATCTTAATCTGGATGTCTGTCAGGGAGGGTGGCAGATGCAAACAGGTAAGTATAAAGCAGAGCTGCTGTCACTGTCATTACTTCTGAAACACGCCTGAAGCCACGAGGGATGGTGAGATGGTATTGACACTGCAACTGTTTTGTCCCTTCCTCAGCAAATCCACCCCTTTTATCACACACAGTACCTGCGACTGAAAGTTCCTGTGTGCTCCAGCAGAACACACCTTAACAACCCAGGCACCTCAAATCTATTGTTATTGTTCCAGCAGAACAGCAACCAAGGTGAGTCCAAGTCCAGTTTGCACTGTTATTGACCCTCTTCCCTTTATATTTCAGTTGCATACTTACAGCAAAATCATTATCCTAGAACAAGATCAGAGTCCAAATTATAACATTGTGTAATTTGCATATGAGCTAAATTAAAAACATTTTCATAAAATCCTAAGGAGTTCAGAAAATGGTAACTGTAAGTTGGAAAAAAGTTTAGAGAGCAAACAGCTGAAGCCATTCTCCAGTTTGCACATCTACTACAGACATCTGGTTTCTGAGCAAGGTAGCACTTAAAAGAAAACTTAACCAAAGAGGTGCTCTGTTTATCCGCAACATTACTCCAGCTGATAGTGCCATCTAGAAAGGAAGGTATGAAAATGTAAATCTGAATACATTTCAAATAGATTTTATAGCTACACACTTTTTAAAGACCTAGAAAAGCTACTTCATGAGCTTTCAAGTTGGTCATCTGGCTCCCATTTGTACTGACTACTAAAAGTACATAAGGAAAAGGATGGGGGAGGAATGAAGGCATTAGAAATCCAGAAAATTGCTGCTTGCAGTTGAGATGAGAAGTCTACACATGGACAGTGTTTACTAAGTTATCTATAGAACCGACACACAACTTTACTCAAACCAAGTATTTACTGTGAAACCAATTTTTCAATAAATTGTCTAACAAGTCATTCAATAAAGCATTTAGGCATGAATTGTTGGTTTTGGTTTTTTTTAAAAAAATCAGACACACACACAATTATAAAAAGTCTGTTTCCCAAGCTCTTCAGACTGAAAAGTTTCCATCTCATACTTACGTGAAGCTCTCTAAACATATACAACTTGTAATGAAACATTTTATTACTCATAAAATGTGACTAATATGGTATACGTATGTTTTGGCTCTACCTCTGTCTCAGTCAGAAAGCAGCTGCTTTGTCTCTTAGCTAAACCCTTAAACAAAATGGATAACACATGCCTTGTTATACACTCCTAGTTTGCACAATGAAGAGCTGATTTACAGAAAAAGCCTTAGCAATTACAAAGTCCATCAGCACAAAGCAGAAGGCTACCATCTTAACAAGTAATTTCGAGAGGAGGATGAGCTAGACACACTTAACATTCACAAACATTATTCCAAGTACAACCCCCCTTCTCCAGGATATTACCTCTTACCCTAGGGAAAGAATGCTGGCAAAGCATTTTTCACCCCATGGAAAGCACTTCTAAGGTTGTCAAACTTTGAGAGAGCATTCATTTCAACTATTTGGATGCAATTCACAACTGTACTCTGTTATCAGTCCACTTTAGACTGACCTATAGATAAGGATATCTGTTTTTATGACAATCACAGAAGAACTTTGAATCTGCTAAAACGGTAGGTGGACTTTTTTCCTAAAAGCATGTTGATCTAAAGCTTAAAGAAAACAGTTACAGTAAACAGGCAAAAATGCTGTGTAAATACTTATTTCAAGAAGTACTGTCTGTATTTAAAATGTTCTAAAGATTATGCTTATAGCCTCCTCCCACTGCCTAAAAAGTGTACAACCTGTAAAATATTCAGGGAGTGTTAAGTTATTCTCTTGTTTACTTTCAAATGTAAAAACAAAGACAATGAGAGATTATTGGTATAGAACACGTACATTTGAAAATCATTATTTTGACAACTGAGAAAATGCATTTGAACCTCTCTCATTTTGATCAGTTCAGCTCATACATGCCAAACTTTTCATAAAATGCTTTCTAAAATCCTCTTGCTGTTAACCAAAATAACACACTGGGAAACAAGCAATGCAATTAAGATATTTGCCTTATTAGTTGGAAAATGTTCTTTAATATTTGCCAGTTTCTTTTCATGTTAAGAACAGGTTTTATAATGCTAGAGTCTAATTAAAGGATACCAAGGGTTAAAAGTTGTTCCATGTTCCTTATGTGCTAGAAAGCCCTGCCAACTATCCTCTAGGCTTTAAATATTGTTTTGACGGATTGCATTTTCATTTCCAGTCACAAAGCAAGTATTCTCCACACTCAACACAGGAGCAGCCCTTCAACAGCTCAGTAAAAGCTAGACACACTGTTCCGTGCAAGAATGAAGACTCTGCAGACTACTATTTTTTTGTTTCTGTTTGTACCTTTGGTAAATTCAGCACCACCTATACAGCAAGAATCACTCCAGTTTTATGAGTATGATACAGATGTTACGATGGGAAACCTGATCCAACAAGATTATGAAATGCAATCCAAGGATATAAGAAAGGTATTTTATTTATATTATCAGTTTAATATTTTTAACTGCTATGCATTGTACGAATAAGGTATTACACGCATGTATGCAAGTTTTATGGAAAAGTCTTATAATAATGGCAAAACATACAATGTTTCAGACACAGGGAAAGCCACTCAAATTAAAACCACAGAAACACTACCCTTGTTACAGTTTGAGAAACCAACAAAAGGCAGGCTTTCACAAATAAGATTAAAGCATCGTTTTTTACTCTACTGTAGTTACATGCCTACTGCTGTAAGAGTTTCAAGACTGGGATATACTAATGTACTTGCTCAGCAGTTTAAGTGACATTGTATTAACACGGTAAGTGTGTTTAAAAAAAAAAGGAGAGTTTTTATTTAGGATTTTTTTCAATATATATTGAAGTAATACTTGAAACAGTACTTTTTACTGGACATAACCTGCCAGCATAAATGACAGTTTCCTCTTTTGACTTAACAAACTATCATGGGTTTTGCCTTGCTTTTTCAGGGGCGGGTTGTTTGGGGTTTTTTGCAACTCTGTCAGTTTAGCAAGTCCTGAAATACTACAGAATATCCAGTCCTGCAGTAGTCACCTACATTATTAACACTCTGTGAGTCTTACAGATAGCAATAAAGATTCTACCTCATGGCACTCACCAGCACCCCCAAACGGTCAATTCTGAGCTTTCTTTCCTGTGTACTCCACATACATGCCTGTTAATTTAAACACTCAAGCAGAAGACATAAAACTGGGGGAGAGTTAAATGAATGGCAACAGCCTCAGCTGACAGGGACAGTTGGAAACCTCACACCTTGCTCTGCCTCTAGGTCCTTTCAGAAGCTTTTCAAACAATGACACCAAGAGATACAATATCCACCAGGAAGAAAAACTAACAATTGCCCCAGGACTAGCTGTCAAGGAACATACCACATATCCAAACAAAGCAGTAGCAACCAAGTATTAATAAATTCAAAGAAGTTACTATTAACTGTCCTTGTTACAATAATTTAGTCTGCTAAACAAGAAAAACAGATGACAGCAAAAAGACAGTTAGTAGAAATAAATATTGCAGCACATATGTAGAAAAATCACTTCTATATAACTTTTCAGTATTTTCCCAGTGCTACTTAAGTTCTAGCTTTCCACTGTTGCACTGTGAACAGCAGCTACACATTTACATTTTAAAATTTCTAACTTTTTTTAAATTGGGCATCTGCCATAGTGATAAAGTAAAATGTTTTCATAAACTTACCAAAAAGAGACCATTTAAGTGACTTACTAGGTGGCTATCCACTTGTACTTAGCCTTTTCAAAAAAATACGGGAAATATTACCTTTAACTAGTTAAGCACAGGACCAGATGACATTCTTGACTAAAATCACTCTAATAAGAATATGCTGTTTCAGTAAATTGAACAGTAAGGAGTATACCTACAAGGAAATGGTGCCAAGAGATGTGCCACAGACTAATCATAGTCCGTACTGGCAGTGCTATGAACTAGAGGTCTTCTGAAGGCCAACAGTTCTGCTTAGGATAATTCTAGGAATGCAGTTCAGTCATTATTTCCATCAGGTCAGTTCTCCAATGACATGTTGTTTTCATTGCAAAATAATAAATTAGTTCCTTATGTGCAGAAAATACATCTACACAAGTTCCAGTGTTCCCAGTTTAAATCATGGGATGCACAAACAAATCTTCTATTCATTTATTCCACAAATTCAAGCTCCCAGAATATTTCAAGTGTTAGCTGCAACTGAAAAACACGCCAAAAATTTCCTCAGACATGCCCAGTCAAATCTATCTTGCATGACAAATTTAACTCCTTACTGTGTGCTTGAAAACACAGTTAAAAAAGAGATTTTTAGTGAAAGCATCAGAAGAAATCTATTTGTGTTTGCACTCAACAAAATGAACTTTGCTACTAAGGAAAAGCTCAGCCAAGCAAAGTTTATTACAGTGACTACTATTTAAAACCACAGCCACTCCAGTCATGAATAAAATATTAGAAGTTTAAAAACATGAAAACTTAATTTCCATAGCACAACAGAACCATCCAATTAGACACCATCTCATACCTTGACTATTTCGTTCCAATAAATCTAAATTATCAGCTTTGGAGACCTTGCTGTCTTACAAAGACAAAGCAATTACTTTGCAGAAGTCTTAAGCTCGTTAGAGTATTGAGACCTAAAATGTTAATGTTTTTTAGTATGGGTAATTCATGTCTGTGGAGTGCAGTGCAAGAGGCAGGTGGAATTTAATCTGTAAGCAGGTCAATATTCCCTTAGTGTATTCCCTACATATGCAAGCAACAAACTTTCTGCAGTTATAATCCAAACAATCTTCTGCACTGATATTCCACTACTTGGAATTTTTATAGCTGAACAGCAAATATATGCAACGTATTAGTTATTCATACTACTGGGGGAGTGGAGGGGAAAAGGCAGGGGTAGGAGGAGAATATGTTGTTTAATTTTGTGGATTTAAAAGTATTCTGCAAGTAATTTTATGTTTTGTTGACATTTCCCACTTGCAGAAATCACTTGTACACTGTATTTTGCAAAGAACTCACATGCTCTTTCACAGATCACACCTCAAGCAGGGTACTGTAGTAGGCATTTACACCTTGTACAGATACACTAAAAGTAAACATGCTTTTCATGTAAGCATGTCCCTTATGAGCCAAACAAACTACAACAACAGAGGTGCAGTTGTTATATTTTAAGTCCATGTACACAGAAGTCTCTGTTGGCATGGATACCTCAGTCAAGGACCACATCTTCACATGCCCCATCAACACACCTATGCAAGCTAAATGTTTCTGCAGAAACCTTCTGTAAGATTTGCTGCTTGTTTGAGTCTAACTGTTCACCTCATAGCCCCAGCTTCTCTACACCGATGAAGCTCTTACATTACGCAGAAGTTTCACACTACAGCCACTAAACTGTTAACCAGCATTCTAACTTAGGTTTAAAAGTCTTCCTACAGCATCCTATCCCAACCAAGAGGCAAAAAAAGAGCCATAGCCTGGATAGACAGATGCAGGGAAGAGCCAAGGGATGGATGATTCACAGGCTAAAAAGGGGTCAAAACAATAGAGGCTGGCCAAGAGATTTATTTCTCAGGCTGTATGTCAAGTCTGAGGGTTTTATTTTGCAGAATACAAAAGTTCCCACAGTAAAGTATATGCAAGCAACCAAATATTGAATAAAATAAAGTTAGTATCGGAAGTAACTTGACAGTGTTACTTTCACATTGCTCTTGTAGAGGAACTATCTGTGCTGCATGCCTGAAGTGGGGGTGGAGGGGAAAAATTAATTTTTTTTTTTTTTTTAAATTGGTTCACATGTAAGCACTTGGAGTGTGTAAGAAGCTCTCTTCAAGAGGGGACTGTACCCCTGCCATGGCCTGGTCCTTAAGCATGTTTCAAGACAAACATCTTCCATACCCGATAACGTACTTTTCACCATGTGTTTTCAATAGCCACACAGACCAAAAAGCACACTGTCTTACTCGCTCCTGCAAGACAGACAATGAATAATGCTAGCCAAGAACAATTGCCACAATCAACCTGAAAACCTCCTTAAATTTAATACATGCATATCATACTACAACCCACTGTATGGATTCTGTAATTCTAGAAAGAGTATGTAATCCTCTAAAATCCCTACAGTATTCAGTGAAACCCTGACTACCATTTCCTGCACCACAAAAGGCCCTTTCTGTTAGCAGCCCAAGTCTTAAAACAGACCTCAGTGCAGTTAACAGAAATTAAACGCTAAATTTCAGCCAATAACCTGAAAGGAACACGTTTATAAACTAAGTTGTCCTGCAATTGAAAAGATGCAATGATCAGCTCAACAGGGAATTCTGAATAACTTTGAAATCAAAGAAATGTTATTTTATGATGATTATTTAGGTAGAATTACAACTTCTATTCCTAAGAATCTTATGAAATTTTGAATGATGTGCAAAATGATGTATGTTCAAAACTCCAAATTTTTGTAAACACCCGCTTATATATTCCTTCCCTACTACATACTCTGTATTTTGCCCTCTATTTTTTTTCCCCACTGTTCTTTCATAAAGAACTTTGCTTTTCTAATGAACACTAGCAACACCTTCCCTTCTTGCCTTTCCAAGTTAATATCTAATTTACAAAAGGGATAATATATACTTTTATCCACTGGATGAGTAACAATATTTTAAATAAAAATTAAATGTCCTAAGGCAGAACATCATAGGAAGTTCATTTTTAAAAGACATGCCATTTCAGACCTACATAATACGCTGTTGTCTTTTGCCTCCTGTTTGATTTTTTTTGAAAAAGTAACATTTGCTTTCACACAAAGGATGGAACAAATGTTTCTCTTGACACTTCCCTAAGACTTCAAGGGGATGACAGCGAGCGCAATGTACCACCAACAAAGGATACAAGTAAGTTAAGTGATATGAATACTACATCTAAGCTAGCCAAAAGAATACATTTTAATATAAAAAAAAAAATATAAAGTATATAAAATTAATCTTTTAATTTATGAATATCTTTCATATCTCCTGTGGAAAGTCTTCTACGTTCTGATGGAGCAGGCTGAAAAAATTTAAAGGCTCTTCAGGTAAACTCTGAATACACTAATCACAGCTTGTAAGAATCCCTACAGACTTAGCCAGTCATATTAGCTGTAGAGATAGATGTACCCAAGTTAAATAAGTCAGGCAATAAAACCAAGAAAAACAAAATGCACACCCCAATAAGTTCCACAGTTTAACCAAATAAGGATGAAATATGTCGCACTTAAATTACTTAAATAGATTTCTTCAAAGAATTGGCCATTCTCACAGCTTACAACTGATGATCAGAGAGGTCAATGGTTAAAATGCATCAGGACCATTCTTCACCAGCCTAGGTTTTCAACAGGCTCTGAGGTATATTGTCCAGATTTCTTCCAAGAAGCCACAGTGATTTAACTGATTATTCAGCAAGACCATGGGAGTGTCAATCTCCACCACAGTTTTAATGAAGGTTAGTTCTTGCCAGATAGCATCTGGCAACAAGGCCCACCAAAAGCGGAACAAATCTGTAAGAATGTCAGAGCTCCTAGTCCCAGACAAGCATAAACACTTGCCTTTTAAAAAGTCACAATATTATTTCACAATCATTTTCCATTTCCCACACTCTAGCATATGACAAACAAGACACTAAATCAGAAAAGGAAAATTGGGCAGAACTGAATCCTAACAAGTGGTAATATTCACAAAGCTAAAGCTCAAAATCTCAATTCCATCCTACGCAGTATCTCTAATAGAAAAAAAGAACTATTATATACATTGTCTTGACTTCCCAGTGTTGACTGGCTACTTGTATAACTCTCCACTGGTTGCAGAAGATCCTGTCTGACCATGAAGTGATAACAAACCACCTACCAGCATGACACTGCTCTCTACTGCAGACAGTCCAGTTTCGAAGCTAAACAAAAAATCTCATGGTATAGAAAACACAGGAGATCAGGGAGCAATGGTGACAAAACTGGACAGAAAGCCACATTCACTACATATATTTTACTATTTCTGCCACACAGGAGCAAAGAGAAGCAGAAATTACTAATACTCTACTAATGTCTATGAGGAACAGGACAAGCTATGATGGGCTTTAGTTGCATTAAAAAAGATACAGAATTTCTCTCACTACTTTACAGCTATAAAAAGCCCTCAGTAAAAAAATGGAACGCATTGCCTAAAGTACTTATGTATAATCACCATTGCTAGAGGTTTTATAAAAGGATTACGTAAAATACTAGCTAGGAGTAACACAGTATATGTGACCCTGCCAGAAACGCTCCAGTCTGATGTGGGCACTGCAAGATTTTTCTCCTGCATGGATTTCTCTTTTCAAAAGAATGGTTCTAAACATGACATCGAACATGGTCACAGAGCTGCAGCTGTCATATTCACAATGCTCTACGCCAGTTAAAGAATGAAACAATTAAGAACAATTAATAGCATTTCAAGACATGCTCTTATAAGAACAGAGAATATATGCAAGGAAATTATGCACAAAAACAAAAAAGGCAAAACCTGTAACAGTTTAGAATATTACATCTTTTCTGAACTTGGTATCAACAGAATTTTTTTTTAAAACCCAATAATGGGAAACCTGAAAAGATACTAGAGAAAATTCTGTTGTGAATATTTAAGCTTAAGTTCCTTGAACAACTCCTAACTGTCTGCTTAAAATACTTTGCTTTCAGATTTGCCTACGTGCCTGCTGTGCGTGTGTTTAAGCGGCTCGGTGTACTGCGAGGAGATCGACATCGAGGCGGTGCCCCCCCTGCCGAAGGAAACTGCCTATCTCTATGCACGATTTAACAAAATCAAAAGGATAGCGGTCTCAGATTTTGCTGACATTAGTAAGTAACATTCAAATTTTCATTTCTGTTTACCTGATAGTGTATTTGAAGTTGGTGGCTCTTAATACTAAGCCAAGATTATCAGATATTTTTTATACTTTGCTAGATTTCATCATGTGTATTACTTTTTTAATTCAATGCTTGTATTAGCACAGAAACTATAAAGGCAATATGGAAACCCATTTTGGCTCATGTATACAATCTTAATAATCCCACACAATCAAAGAAAGTGCAGATCACCAAAAATAATATGTAACTCTGCATCCCATTCAGTGTTAAACAACCAGATATCACTTTTCTTTCAAATGCTCCAGAGACATCTCTCCCAGCTATCTCACTCTACAACATGATAAATTCCTTGAATTTCTGAAATCATGTTGTCTCTGAAGAAAAAAAAGATCCAGAGTATTTTCTTTTTTTTTTTTTTTTTTATTTAAGACTATGAGGAAGTCCAAATTTGGATTTCATTCCTGTTTTAACAGTATTTACATTTATAAATCACAATAAAGATGGTGCAGCTGAGAGTGGAACATTTAACATACATAACCATACACATTTCACATCATAAAAATTAAATATTGAATTTATAATTACATTTCTTTTCCATAAAGCTACCTTGAGAAGAATTGATTTTAGTGGAAATAGGATAGAAGAAATAGAAGATGGAGCTTTCTCAAAGCTTCTGCTATTGGAAGAACTTTCTCTTGCTGAAAATCGGCTTGTAAAACTTCCTGTTCTACCTCCCAAACTAACAACATTTAATGCAAATCAAAACAGAATCAAGAGCAGAGGAATCAAAGCAAATGCTTTCAAGGTAAGTAAAAAAGACAATAAATGAAGTAAATAAAATTAGTAAGCGGGCTATCCAGTATACAACCAAAGGAATTTTTCAGTGTTTTTGTAATCTAAGAAACAAAACTATGATGAAGAAGCTTTCCAGCTTTTGTTTTGTTTTTAAGGCACTTTGGAGTAACGGTCCCTTGCACACTCATTCTCTAATGTCCTTTGTATAAAAAAAAACCCAAACAAGCAACTTTTTATGAAACATCACACCTACTTCCTTTCTCTCTCACATACAAAGAAAAATTTGATTCAAAATTGAATGTTCAAATATAGTTCTGAGGACCACAAATACAAGTAAACAAGGGTATAGCTTTATAGTAGTCTCAAGTTTCATAACCTGGCACCGGAATTTCCAAAACACAAAAGGCCTGTTCTATGATTTTCTTTGTACAAAAGAGTTAAACATTCATAGCAAAAGAATGTTTCATGTTAGAACACTTTAAACACTTCCTACGTGATCAGAAGAAAACCACTAATGTCTTGTAACAGGCACAAGTTACTTGACCTCAAGTAAGTAGTATCAGCATTAACTTCTCTCTTCCTTTCTATTAGAAGCTGACAAACTTGGCCTACCTCTACCTAGGACATAATGCACTGGAATCTGTTCCCCTTAACTTACCAGAAAGTCTGCGTATTCTTCACCTCCAGGTATTTTTGAACTATTTCCTAAACGTTCTGTTACAAAAAGCCTCATTAGTTACATACTTCAAACCCACTGTCTTTTAAAGCAGTTCACACCAAAGACGGTTACAGTTGCCTTATAATCCTCCAAATAAAACAATTCAGAAGTTGGTTGTTGGCCAATTACCATGCAAGAGTTTCTCACTGATTTCTGCATATCAAGGATAGAAATTGGTAAAGAGCAGCAATAATCAACAATGCATTTCAAACACCAGTAACAACCCCAAACTGCTTAGCAGCTCATTGCTCAAAGAGACTCAGTTCCTACATATCCATAGTATACACAAATCAATCCAACTGACAATAAAATGGGAGGGTAAGAAGAATAAAATTCAAGTTTGAAAGTTCTTCGGTGGATAAGATGGTTCGCATATGTGTATATCTGTGTGGGTATTTATTAAAAAATTGTTGTTTTGCAGTACAACAATATTACTTCGATCACGGACGACACATTCTGCAAGTCCAACAACACGCGTTACATCCGCACGCGCATGGATGAGATACGGATGGAAGGCAACCCCATCCTCTTGGCAAAGCATGTGAATGCTTTCTCCTGCTTGAGAACACTGCCTGTAGGAACATACTACTAGCCACTACTTACATAATTATACCTGCCAAAACAAACATGGTAACAGATGATCATTCTTTTTCCTCTGTTTACACGTTTATATCCTCTCCCTTTCTAATGCAGTTTTCCCTGCCTACCCAGAACCTTTTAGCACACTGAAATGTACTTCTCCTCTGGAATAACCAGTTCAATCCAGTCACTTCATTTAGTAGTTACAATGTCACTCATGCTTTCAGAATCCTTTCTGCTAATGAAGGTGTGACAATACATACATGCACGCACACAATCTTCTCACCTTTTATTTCATCACATTCTCTTTATATGTAGGTAAAATCACAAGGAAGTGCTTGTTCATTCTTTACCAGTACCCAGATCACTACATTTTCCTTTCAAATAAACACAAATACTCTTTGAGCAAGCTGCAGAGGAAGAATGTCTTAATTGCAACCCCGCTTCTTAAATCTGAAATGAAGCTTTTTCAGCTGAGCTTCAAAAGTGTATTAGACGAAGCTGGCTACAAAATAAATTTATGTTTAGAAAAAGAACTTCTCAAAGCTTAACTTCATTATATCTTCCTTTAAAACTTGATTTGTGGAAAATGAGAATAATTCCTATTTAGGCTTCGTGTACCAAGCAACATAGCAAGTGGAACTTTGTAAAAATGGGTTAAATCTCCTGCTATTTTGCTTTCAGAATAAGCTAAGAATGTGTGTGTGTATATATATGTATTTTATTTTCACACAAGTTATTTTTAACTGAAATATATAGATTTTGCTCAGTTGTACTCACAGGAGTCATTTTTGCAACACCAGTTTCTCATTTTAATACAATGGTCAAAGTACAGCATAGTACGACTCCAAGTATCTTTGTTATTAACAGCTGATGCAGACCAAGCCTTGTTCCACTGCTTTTTCTTGACAAGGAAATGTGACAATATAATTAACAGCAAAGCCAAAATCATGTTTTTACCTGTAAATAAGTAAGATTTCAGCTAGATGTCAGCACAAAGAAACAGAAGTGCTCTTGTACAACAATATTTTGCTTATTAGGGAAAAATCAGATCTTTGAACTAAAAATAGTGTTAACTTCAGGCAAATTAAACAAGCATAATTTTTCTCAACCCCTTGAAACCATGCAGTGTATTAAAACCACAAATGAATGTATGCAGACCTCAGTCAGTTCATGTAAAACTAGACATCATTTATACAGGACACAACAGTTTTAATTACACAGCTATACATCTCTGACATTTCCTTTTCAGTTTCTCCCCTCAAATACCTACTGCAAACAAACTCTTCAAAGAAAGGAATGCCAATAGTCTGCTAGATACTACTACCAGATCAACTTTGTACTAATTTTGAAGCTAGTATAGATTCCTAATTTGTAGAAATAGTTAAGCATCAAATGCACGATGATGTATCACTACATCTAGAATACTGATTTTACAAAATATTGTGTATTAGTTTTCTTTCTCTTGTTTATCTAAGCCTTGATTTGTTAATGCTTGTGCTGTGGGCAGTTAAGTGCACACTTAAATCCCAACATACTGATGCTCTGCCACTAAGAATGTTGAGACCCAAGTGACTTTTAGTCACTTCACAAGTAATTATGGCCAAGCATCAACTGTGGGCTCAACTTTCTGGAAAGAGGATGAGATTACAAAATGGAGGACAAGAATATTTTGGCCCTGAACCCACTACTCAAAGACATAGCAATCCCTATATTTTCCACTTTAAATTATTTGACATAACAAGAAGCAAATTTCATTGTTTCAGTACAATTGAGAACAAAACCAAATCTGACAGTGAGAATAATACTTTTTCATCTTCCTAATTAAGTCATAAAACTTTTATGTTTCCAAGTTTTTAGCAAAAGGTTAAAAAAAACCCCTAAAGCATGTAAAAACACATTCCAACAACAAGGCAGTTATATTAGGAGAAAAATAAAAGCCACCAGTTCTCTCATCCCTCTTTTGATAAATGTCTAAGATGCATAAAACCCAGATAAAAGTGTAACAACATTACAGAAGCAGTGGCCTCTGATCTTTTTCTCACTGTAAAACATTAAATAAAGCTCTTTCCAGTATTAATAGGATATGTAAATATCACCAAAACTCTTCCAATGGAAACAATTACGTGTATACATAAATATATGCACATTTATGTAATATATAGACACGGGTAAACATTATAAGACCTAGCCACTACCACAGTATTAATTTTACATTAAAATGTTGGATATAATTTTGAAAAACTACTAAATATCACAAGAACACTAATTAACACAACACTAATTAACACAGTATTTTGTGAGCAAACCAAAGTAGACAACTGGTACCTTCTGAATGCCTCAGTTCTAATTTACTTACCCCATTGATAGCAAGGCAACTTGTCAAACCATTAAGTGAGAAGAGCTTCAGTATGGAGGTTTTCCTGCCTTTTATTTGTGTGACAAGTACTAAGATCGAGTTGAATGTACACTGTTCTATTTTTTTCCTAACACTAATTTCTGTTCTATATTTGCAATAAAACTTGAATATTTTTTCTGGTTTATCAAAATCAGTTTCAACAATCTGCTCTTCCAGCAATGCCAACACGCTTCAGTTGTTCAGCCTCGTGGCAGACTATGAGCATGTCTCGATCAGAAAATTATTTGCAGATGTAAAACCATTTTGCAGACATAATATTCGATTGTAGCAATGTAGGATGACCTGCCATACAAAAGACTCACAGTACACTTCATTCATCCCTTCAAAATCAGTTTAAAGCACCCATCCCACCATTACTCTTCTTAACCAGGAAAACTCTCACTACAGAACTGCCACTTGTGACAGTTAACTTTTAGAAATACAGTGCTGTTCAGCTCTGCTTGAAACTTCCATTGTCACTCATTTCAAATATTTGTTACTATTTGAAGTGTTCTATCACTTTCATATAATTCCTTTCTTCTCAATACCAACAATAATAGAAAATAAAAATTATAATCTGTCTGGCCTGTTTTACACTATAGTGTGAGAAAATTGTGAGAAGCACTGTCTATTTCTAGTTGACAACCCTGACAGTTTTATTTTAATGAACAAATCAATGGAAAAGGTATAAGCCCAGAGCTCCATCACAAAGAGTCTTCTCTCCACTACTGTGCACATTTACCTGTCTATATACTTGAAGTCTAGCAAGCAGGTAGGAAAAAAAAATACAAAGACTACAGACTTAATTTTAACATTGTCCCTGTGTGAATATTAACAGGATAAAACTCTTCACTTGTTTTTATGCAAATGTTAAAAGTTGCTTTCACACAGATCACTACAGAATACTGTTATAAATATACCTCTTTCTTAGCAACCTGGTTATCTTAATTGTTAGATTTGATCTTTGAACACTTTGTTAATTCTCTCACCTCATAATCTTCTATTTCTAAATTAAATCATTACTAATGCTAGCAGAAATAAGAAGGCCTAAAAAAAACCTCTTCATAAGTCCATTGTCAACCATATTTGATAAATATTCTACCAAATTGGTTTGCCTTGCTCAACAGCACCTTTATCCACAGAAAGAAAAATACCTTTAGAAAAAATGTGTAATAATGACAAACCTGTAACACAGATCTTCAGTGAATGTATCTTCACACATCTTTTAGCACTTAATATATTTCCTTCATTGCTTGCTCAGCATCTAAACAAATACTTTTAAAAACTGCTTAAGATACACAAATTTTAAAAATAATTTCCAGACCTACCTCTTCTGTTTTTCATTTTTGCGCTGAATTTTAAAATTAGAAATATTTGCAATAGTTCACTGAATCACTGTCCCAGAAACCACAGTGACTGCTGTCATGAGGCTGATCCAAGGATCAGAAAGATCAAGTGAAGTTGGAAAAAAAAACATATCAAAAACATCCACACCACAAGGCCGTAAAGCCCCTGGTGCTCTGCCTTCTCTGTGGAAGGATTAAAAGAAGTCCTCAAGCAACAACAAGCAGAAGTAGACAACATCAGATTATTACTCAGCTGAAAACAGGATTTTTTGAAAACATTATCAGAAATTAATGCTTTTTTTTCTTTACTCCAGTTGATTTGATAATATAAATTGATTAATTTAGCACAGAACTCAGAAAAACCTAAAAGATTTAAAAAAATAGGTTAAAAAGCAGTTCTTACTTCATACTACACCTGAAAAGTAAAAGATGGTGCTGAGTTTAATGATAGTAAATGCTTGAGCTGAATAAAACTGAACGAGAAAATTACACAATTAAGCTGCTAAACATTCTCCTCTAACATTAAGATGTTCTGTATCTTTAAGAGTGCAGTGTTTTTACTACAAAGAATAGCTGTTTACTGTAAAACCAGTACAAAGACAAAGCAAACAATTTCAATAAGGGTAACTTAAAACTAAGCCCAAATACTACATTCCAGTTACAAGTGAGGAACAGTTTATTTCCCATTCAAGTAAAACATTTCAGAACTGGAAATGCTGTCGCTCAACCACATGCCGCCACATTTTCAAGAGAGACGGATCCAGTCTTTCAGAGCTAGCATTCAAATGCCAAAGACTACAAACATTATTTTCTTTTAACTTCTTTTGTGTTTCTTGTTGTTCAAAATGAAATGCAATACCAACGGAAAACTGTCTTACTGCCCCACAGAAAGGCACAGATATTCTTATTTTCCCCAATGTGTGAAGAAAACAGCAACCGCATGGTAAAAATCAAGACAAATACCAAGCAATGGCATTTCCCCTTGAACACAACACAAAAATCTTCAGCTAACAGTCACTTTTCCACAACATACCAAATTAAAACTCTCATGCTGCACTAGTTAGGTGCTAACTTCATCTCACTGCTCTGTCTTAATGAAGAACTAAATATAGTATGCATGCATAAAGGCTTGATAGACACTACCTTGAAATGTAGGAGGGTGCGTCTACGGTGTTCATACCACTCAGCATAAGATAAAAGGCTTCTGAAAAATGTTAACAGATTTCCATGTTCTTCAGTGCTGCA